CCCTCTCAACTAAACAACATCAACTCCTAGTACATCAGTATATATGAAGGTTACTTAGTTTACTATAACACGGAAATTTGGTTGTTAGAACTTCAATCGATATGCCCATGAGAAGTGTAGCGCCAATACTGTGTCGAATTAAGGAGGCAGCATATACTTCTATGACACAAATGATAGATGGGTACGAAATAGATGGTGGATTGATTGAAGTTAGGCTTATTTAAAACATTGTTAGTTTTCGACTCAATGGTCCAAGAGGGGTTTGTCGTTCATCACACAAAACCTGTAGGTCTCTACCAGTAGCGGTAGGGTCGTAAATCACACCGCTGCTGATTGAGTACCCGTATACTATGTTTTCTTTGTAAAAAACGGCCTAAGGCTTTGTAAGCGAATGGGTTCGATATTGTTTTTGAGTCATGGTCTTTCAACGACACACGTCATTCAAAGACGTATCGGCCTGTGAACATGATGTTACTTACTATTCAGTCAATCATTATCATGGTTTACACTTCCTTCCATGTCATTTATTATTTGATATTTTTATTCTATGAAATGTTCTCCATGTTATTTCTACTCCTTTGAAAATATCAGCTATTAATTATGCTACTGGTTCTTAGTGTTAGTGTCACTCAATTTAGCTCTTGAAGTAACCAATGGGACGTAATTGGTCAACTACTACCGCAATGGCTAACATCTCATTTCACTAATACGCAATGTTGTACTGCATTGCAGATCCCCAAGAGAAATTTATCGGCGTTTCTGTAAACTCAGGGGGATACTTACTCAAATCTGCTGGCAGCAATCGTACGTTTCAGTCACGTTCCAACATTTAGCACTCACAGTACATAGTAAGTTAAGTTGTTTTTTTTTGCTGGTTGTTTTGAAATGTTCTAATCGATTTGTGTATATTCAAGGTTTAAATTTATTTTGCATCCAATCAGATTGCTCAATTGAATTTTTTTCTTAAATGACGACATAAGCTGATTGGCTGATAGTGTAAGATTGCTATTTGTTGATTGGTTGATTTTGATATGATGTTTTCATGTCATAAGAAAAAAGAACTATGAATACACATGGTTTGTGTCTACGTGTCAACGCCACACACCTTAGTGTAAAGTATCCGTGTCTTCTTCTACTAGTGTTCAAGTTACTGCAGTGTAGATTAAGTCTGAGGTCATTGGAAGTGTCTAGAGAACTAGACCTTCACTTCAGTACCAGTAAAAATTTAGAAGAAAAAGACAATTGTCTCGTCACCGTTTTCTATACAAAATATGGAGTAGTGATCAAGTTGTTAGAACGCTCCAGTTTCAGCTGCCATGTCAAAAATCGCCTTTCTCATCAAAATACCAAAGAAAGGAGATCTCAGCATGTGTGAGAACTACACAGGCATCACTCGTCTTTCAGTACCAGGCAAAGTCTTCAACAATGTATTGTTAAACAGAATGAAGGACTTCGTAGACGTCCAACTTCGAGATCAACAGGCTGAATTTCGTAAGGATCGATCGTGTACTGACCAAATTGCAACATTACGGATCAATGTGGAACAATCAATTGAATGGAACTAACCACTCTACATCAACTTCATCGACTACGAGAAAGCATTCGATAGTGTGGATAAGAAAACACTGTGGAGACTTCTTCAACACTACGGTGTGCCTGAGAAAATAGTTAACATCATACGGAATTCTTATGATGGATTCAACTGCAAAATCGTGCACGGAGGACAGCTGACAAACTCGTTCGAGGTGAAGATCGCTGTCAGGCAAGGTTGTTAACTCTCACCCTTCCTCTTTCTCCTGGTGATAGACTGGATTATGAGGTCGTCAGCATCTGAAGGGAAGCACGGTATTCAGTGAACAGCTAGGACGCAGCTGGACGATTTGGACTTCACAGATGACCTAAATATTCTGTCCCATACACAACAACAAATGCAAGAGGAGATGGCCAGTGTAGCAGCAGCCTCTGAAGTAGTAGGTCTCAACATACATAAGAAAAAAATCAAGATTCGCCGATACAACACAATATACACCAACCGAATCACACTTGATGGAGATGCCTTAGAGGCCGTCAACACCCTTACATATCTGGGCAGCATCATCGACGAGAAAGGTGCATCCGATGCAGATGTGAGGTCGCGGATTGGCAAAGCAAGGGCTGCATTTCTACAGTTGAAAAATATCTGGAACTCCAAACAACTTTCAATCAAAACCAAAATCAGGATTTTCAATACAAATGTGAAGACAGTTCTACTGTATGGAGCGGAAACTTGGAGAACTACGAAAGCCACCATCCAGAAGATACAAGTGTTTATTAACAGTTGTCTACGCAAAATACTTCGTATTCGTTGGCCAGACACGATCAGCAACAACGTACTGTGGGAGAGAACAAACCAGATTCCAGTGGAGGAGGAAATCAAGAAGAAGCGGTCGACTTGGATAGAACAATTATTGAGGAAAGCACCTAACTGCATCACAAGACAAGTCCTCACTTGGAACCCTCAAGGTCAAAGGAAAGGAGGAAGACCAAGGAACACATTACGCCGAGAAATAGAGAAAGACATGAGAAGAATGAACAAAAGCTGGAAAGAACTGGAAAGGGAAGCACAGGACAGAGTTGGTTGGAGAAAACTGGTGAGCGGCCTATGTTCCATTGGGGGTAACAGGCGTAAGTAAGTAAGTAAGTAAGTCAAAAGTTGAGACTGCTGCACTCTCAGTATCTACTGTTTGTTTGGGTAACCGTATAATATTTCTTGACTTACTTATCATAGTTTACACTCATGACCCCATCTAGAGTCAGACTTATGACTCCAAGGTCAAAGAATGAAACAAACATTTTCTTTTCTAAATGTTGACAGTAGGGAACTACATTTGATCCAGTCTCTGTTGATATCTGCATATTTTAATCGGGTACCTTGTTATAACCCAGCCAGTGCACAATGAATCCAAGCACTCAAACTGCGTTTATTTGTACGCCATAGAGACGTCCTTGGGACAGTCACAAAAATAGCACACTAAAATGACACAGTAACTTATCACATCCGAGGATTTTCCTGGTGGGAAATGTGATCTCAAGGTCAAGTGATCGGTCCATCTAATGAATCCAAAATAAAGATATTTATCAAGCAAGTTCTAGGGATCTCAACATCCCTAACAAACGTGCCCGAAGTCAAAAGACTATCGTAATCACTTGAAAAAATATATTTACACTAAATCGTAATTGGTTAAATCTAAGCTTACATTCAGGGTAATTAGACGACAACGATGATGATGATAAGAATAACAACAACATCAGCCAATCGTAAAACAGTTTACCATAAAAAAATAACAGGCTTATAATGTTTATTCATGCTAAATGTTTCAGCCAATAAGAATACAACTAGTTTATCGATCATTACTTCAACCAATGAAATACATGAAAAAGGATAGATAAACCTTGATTAGTAGTAGTAGTATTAGTATAAGAGAACAGCCTCTTTCCATCTTTGTTAGTGATGATTGTAACCTGACGGCAATATAGAGCCAGACCTCGTAGAATGCCTGTATATGTCAAACGAGATTGATCAATTGAAGTTCTAAACTACTGGTTTAGTAAGTCGACCAGTTACAACGTACAATTTTGTACGTACATACATCATCAGTGCAGGTTTCCATACCACTTATTAGCACAAAGATGCAGTTGTCGCTTCAAATCCCATAGTAGTAGAGGTAGTAGAAGTGTATTAGCATTAGTTAGAGAGATTAGTGTTAGAAGATATTTACTCAAGAAATATATCCCAATGAAATAAATCTAAAAAGAGAAAGATAAAGGTAATGAGAAATTCAGAAGATTAGAGTTTCAGAGAACACAAAGAGTGTGTATGCACCCATGCAATTGCAAACGATTTTGAGCCATGTCGTTCAAGGTCTCTAACCATTGATGACTATTGTCTCGCGGACCCCAACCAGGTAGTCTACATCTACCGACATGACTCAGTCCACTTGTCAATGACTTTATTGATTCGTTGCATGTTTTAGTTTGGCCGCCCCTAGCTTTCTTCCAACCTACTCCTACACACCAAAAAACATAGCTCGACGAGGCAGAGACATCCGGTTAGGAAGATTCAAACACAATACGAATGAATTATTCTTCACCCTATTGCTCAAACTACTGACTATCCGTACTTAGTAGATAACGCACTGGCATTTGAAGCGTAAAGTACTGGGTTCGACTCCCAGAGTTAACATCCACTCTGACATTCAGACATATTCAACTAGGAACGAGTTCCAAATGGGACGAAACTTGCGTTCTGGATTCAACTGCTAACTCCTATTCACACCAACGAATAAGTAGTATAGTTATAAAACAAGAATTCCACACTCATGTTTGTACAGGTTGCACGACTGGAATAATAATTTAGACCATATATTGACAACCATTATAAACATAGAACCATTGAACAACTGTTTTGCACAAGTTGGGATCGTGAATACGCACCATCACTGATAAGTCCAATACTAAGACAAAACTGCTTTCATGTGCTTCCAGATTTCTAATGGTGATCTAAAAATGGTCGATCGATTCATGGTTTCAATGCTATGTTTTTGTTTGACACTATTGTTCAGCAGTACACACTATGACAGTTGTGCCTAAGGTTAAACGTATAAGATATTCGTAGTTTACTGATTTTCGATCACAGGTGTCTCCGAAGCATTGCTCGGATATCCTGGGACAACCGAGCGAGCAACGCTGTTATTCGGACATGCGTCCTAGGTAAGGATGGCAGATCAATAGGTGAAGTAGTGACACATCGTCAGTTGAGGTGGTTGGGACATGTGCTGCTTATGCAGCACCACCGACTGCCCCGGCGAACTTTGTTTTGTAGTGTAGGAGTGGGCTGCAGGAAAGCTAGGGACGGCCTAACCAAAACATGGCAGAAATCCATGGAGTCATTGATTAGTGGACTGAGCCATGTCGGTAATTGTCGACTACCTGTTTGGGGTCCGCGAGATGATAATAATCGATGGTTAGAGACCCTGAACGACAGGTCTAAAAACCGTTTGAAATGATGCAGGTGCATTCATTTTTTGTGTCCTAATCTTCTGGATTCATCAACACCTCTAGTTTTGACTTTCTAAACTTTTCTCATTTAATCATAATTCTTGAATAATATCTTCTAATCCTAATCTCGCTGATTACTTCTAATACCTTTACTACCTCTACTACTGTTGGATATGAATTGACAAACATATCACTCTGTGCTAATAATATGTGGTATGGCAACATGAACCTGATCTACTTACGTACGAAGTTCTACGTTGGATCTGACTGACTGACTGACTGACTGACACCTAAGATGAAACACATACCATTCATAGATCTACTGTAGAGTGAGTCATCTGTAGAACGTTGATTTTTTTTTCTTCAAATTATTGATCGCATAACTTTCCCGTTTCTTTCCTCTCATTTCATTATTGTACCACAGTACCTGCACGTATTGATCCATTGGATGCCGTGGAAAAAGTTCGTGGTTCACGATTCAATTTAACTTGTAGTGTACATGGTGATCCGGAAGATTTAAAAGCATCTTGGTATTATCGTTTATCACCGAAATCACGTTGGCAAATTATTGATAAACCATGTGTTGTACCATTGGCTTACATTGAGAATGGTTCTCGTAGTAGTAGCGGTGCTGCTGCACAACGTCACAATGATGGTGTCACATTGGATTCTTCTGAAATTGATGATAGTACTAATAGTAATAATAATAATAGAATATATTCTGATCTTCAAGATTTATCATATGATACTTCAGACAAATCCTCTTCTTCGACGTCATCATTATCATCTACCGAAACCAACAAAGATTGGACTCCTAGTTTAGCGGATTGTCAAAGTTATGCAACTGAAGGTTTAGAAAGTGGTATATTATTTCGTCAAGTAAGTAAAAATTCATCCGTTCTTTTTTCCTTAAATTATAGTCATTTGATTTCAATGTAAATCTGTTTCATTCTAAGTTGATTTTATATTCCAGATGTGAAGTTGGATACAACAAGACAACCGGCCAATCGACAAGACAATCTGTCGCAAATCGATTACATATTTAGACTGATATATCAGATGTTTATGTAGTGAGATCGACGAAGGTGATGATGGATGCGTGCTGTTTGAGGACTCAGTCTAAATTGTCATACCATGATCTCAACATGAAGTGATGAAATGATCAGGACAAGAACCTCAGAGTAGTAGTAGTAGGAGAAAACATTTAGAAAATATAAAAATATTTTGTTTTTGAAGAAAAAATGAATTCGTTAAATGAAAGCGTATAAAATAATGTCAAATCTTAAGATTTTAATGAAGAAATGCTTGAATGTATTTGCTCTTTTGTAACGGATTCTGAGTTATCGCATGAACTCCAGCTGTAGGTAGTGTTAACATCTGGCAACATAACTCAATACACTAGTCAATCACTTAGATCAGTTAGTCAGTTACGACGTGGAACGTCGTACGTATGTACATAAGTTCATGTTGCCATACCACATTAGCACACAGAGACGCAAATGTTGAATCAAATCCCATTATGATTGAGATAGTAGAGGTATTAATGATAATGAAGAAGACTAGGGTTTGAAGATATTATTCAAGAAGTATAATTCAGTGAGATAAGGTTAGAAAGACAAAGGTAAAGGTGCTGACGAAGATTAGGATTTGAGAGAGCTTAACGAATGGATGCACTTGCACCATTGTAAACGATTTTGAGCCGTATCGTTCAAGGTCTCTAACCATTGGTGACTTTCGTCTCGTGGACCCCAACATTCTTAGATCAAATGATATCTCATGCATTAAGGTAGCTGGTGGTTGAACATGTGTGTGTGTGTATGATCTGTCATTAAGCAGTTCACTTAATAAAGTTTCACTACCTGATCAACTGATGTTCATTTATATCTAACCTCAGGATTCCTCACCTAATGAATTGTGATGAGGTTTCGTTCTCTGAACTGTATGTTTTTTTGCTTGTGAAGCTTTCATCATTGCTCTCGTGAACACAACATCATCAGCACAAATTTCAGACTTCTATCTGAGGGTTGTGTCGATGATGTTGTTGTTCAGAAGAACAATGATGAAAGCTCCACAAGGAAAAATACATCCAGATCAGAGACCAAATCTCCATCAAAATGATCCACACTTGAACTAAAAAATTTTTCTCCACTAACTCATAAACATGAATGCTCTATAGTCATCTATATTCAAATACTACTACTCATTGGTCTCAGGATATACGAGCACTACTTCGAAGATACCGTTGATCGAATACTAGTAACCCCCCCCTACTCTTACTAGTCATGTTTCGCAGCCATAAAATAGCCCAGAACGAACTACTTACTTACTTACTTATTTTTTCTGGTTAGAGTTTTTTCGGCAAGTTAGATTTCGACGGAATGGGGTCGCCAACCCCATGTCCAACCCTCCTCCTCTACCCGTGCTTTGGACCGGCAATAGCCCCGAAGGTTCTACTGACGAACGAACTACTGCACACTAGTAATAGACTACAATGAACTGAACAATCAGTCCATTAGATAGGACTGTTATGATTTCCTAAGATCATTGAACTAATGAACACGTTTCCGTTACTTTACTTCTTCTAAAAAATCCCCCTCCATATCACAAATCCTGTCATGTATGTTGTATGAATATGTATGTATGTTAATCTTTCCCCCTCTTCTTTTTTTTTAGATTTCATTTTTTAAACCAAATAAACGTGGTTTAGATAAACAATTACAACTTTTAAATTTAAAAGAAATTCATATGGGTGAATATTTATGTAAAGCATCAAATAAATACAACTATAATTCATTTGGTCAACTTATTGAAGTGGAAGCATTTGTACAATTAACTGTTATTTGTAAGTTTATTTTTTGGTTGGTGTTGTGTTATTTTTGTAAACGAAACTAATCTACTATTAGTGTGTATATATATGTATACTTACTTACTGTACGCTTGAAACTATTATGGGTTCATCTGAGTCGATAAAACGCGAACGAGACAGTGAACCAGCCAGCGTCCAGGTAGGTTACCTTGATCCGAAAACCGCTAAAGAGAAGTCTTGATATGGCGTAGAATGTCTATTCTACAAACATACCCAGTAAGCACACAACTCTCGTTTATTTATACATCATAGTGTAGTGTGTCGATTTACTGCGTGTTCTTAAGCTCGGTAATTAGCTAGCTTGTATAGCTAATCGTTACGAAGTAGCGTCTGACGGTTACATGTCAGAAGGTGAACTCGTAGTGTTGAATACGTTTATTTCGGACACACCACAAAGCGACACGGAGAAGCGATGTGAATTGGAGAAGGCTGTTGAGCCAACTCCAAGAGATAGAGCATAACGAAGAATTTATAGTCAGACAAATATAAGACAGACATGTGACAAGCACACATGAATAAAAGCGATTAATAGTTGACAAGGTCAAATGACAAGTGGGACACGTCATGTGAGCTTATACAAACCAGACAACAATGATAAGAACGAATGGCACATATAAATTGTTGCAACACAAATTATGACTTGGTTGAATCGATTAATCGAAAGGGCTTAACCAAATTAAATGTAAGCGAACTGAATTATATGTGGAGGCACTACAATAGAAAAGTCCTTGAGACAGTCACAAAAATAGCACACTGAAATACACAGCAGCCAATCGCAGCCATGGATTTTCCTGGTGAGAAATGAAATCTCAAGGTCAACTGATCAGCCCGTGCTCGCTAACGTGAAATCCGAAATTAAGGTATTTATCAAGCGAGTTCTGGGGATCTTACGTCCCCAACACTTCTCCCCTATTTTTAATAGCGTGCACTGTTGGGGTCGACTCGCATCTTGACTGTTGTTTGCCGCTGTCTGAGAGGATACCTTCTGGAAGGGAGAACAGCTTGCTGCTGAGTTTGTTCTCGTGGTTTGGCTGCCTGTAGGTTGAAGGTATCAAGCAGGATGTCAAGGGGAAGGCTTTCTGCTCTTGATGTGCGCGATCTTGGTCTAGACGTCTGCGTATCTGATTTTGATGACGTGACCATTTATCGCCTCCTACCTCTACTTCGTACATAACTCTGCCAACTCTTCTGAAAACTCGCGCTTCTACCCAAGGACCAACACTTTCTTACTTACTTATGCCTGTTACCCTATAATACCAATAATAATAATAGGTGCTCTGGTTGTCAGAAGGCGAATCAGTATTATGACTGCCGAAAAAAAACTCGGCTTTAATCTTGAGACGTCAAAACTCTCCTAAATGAAGAAGATCTTCTAACTCACCAGATGTAGCGTGTCGAGTTGAAATTGACTATGATCACTAACTACTACAGACCAACTACGTGTTAATTAACAGGTTAAATCCCTCAGTAGAACCGAAATTAGAAGAAAAGTTGGAGTTAGTAATTAATATCTATTTGTTGACGATCTTGTGTTATCAAAATAATAACGAGATCATGTCAAAAGTATTTAGGCGAGACTACCGTGCATACAGTCAACGAGATGAACGACATACAAAATGGAAAAGTGGATCAATCTAATGGAGTTAAACATAGAGTACAGTAAAATAATCACTGTTACAATTGCTTATAATAATAAATGTTTCGATTCAACCAATCATGTTAACTTCAATCAATCAACCAATCAATAGCAACGTAGAACTTCGTACGTACGTACATCAGTTCATGTTGCCATACCACATCGGCACAGAGACGCAACTATCAGTTCAAATCCCATAGTAGTAGAGGTAGTAAAGGCATTAGCAGTAGTCGGAGATGTTAGGATTAGCAGATATTACTCAAGAAGTAGAATCTAGTGAAATATACTTAGAAAGATAAGGATAAAGTGATGAAGAATTAAAAAGTTTAGGATTTGAGAGAACACATGACCAACATGACTCAGTCCAGTTGTCAGTGAATTCATGGATTTCTGCCATATTTTGGTTTGGTCGCCCCTAGCTTTCGTCCAACCTGTTCCTACATCGCAAAATGTAGCTCGACAAGGTAGTCGGTGGTTAGGCATACGCAACACATGTCCCAACCACCTCAACTGATGAAGTTTCAATACTTCATCTATTGATCTGCCATCCTTACCTAGGACCCGTTTCCTAATAACAGCGTTGCTCACTCAGGTATCCCAGGATATACGAGCAATGCTTTGAAGACACCTATGATCGAAAACCAGTAACCTACGAATATCTTCTACTCTCATTGGCCATGTTTCACAGCTATAAAGTAGGACGGAGTGAACTGATCCTCAGTACACTCGTCCTTTAGTCAGTAAACGGATATCTCGCCTACATCATAAGTGATGCAAGTTGGCGAAAGCCAATCGAGCTTTCTTTATCCGTGCTGAGTTCTCCTCAGTCACCAGGCCATCGGCACTGATGAGACTCCCAAGATAAGTGAAGCGGTCTACAAGTTCGATTACTTCACTTCACTGTGACAACATGTCTAAACCATTGTTGTAACGGTTGCTTACGATATTTACAGGCCAAATCTTATTGCTTAGTATTCTTGACACAAAACAATGGACAAGTAACCCAAATCAGAACACGGTTGAACAGTAAGGATTGTATTCCAAAATAGCAAGGAAAAAGAAGCTGGAGGTGATGGCGAAAGCCAAGGCAAAGAAGGCTTGAAGGCGAAGAAGGCGAAGAAGGCAAAGATAAATACAATGCTAGTCTATTTATAGCCTTTACATGAGAAAACTTCTGGAAGAAAATTCACGTGATCGACTGGACTGGATTTGACCAATCAGCATGCAGCTAATAATACGAGAATTTTCTATCCTGTTCTCCAAGCTTCGATCAGGCGCTGATTGGATAGGAAATTAGCCAATCAGCGCGCAGCAACGTAGTCGTGCTTCAATTCCATCTATGTCCCGCTAACAACCATCGAAGTCGTCGGTATTTCACCATGATGATGTCAGTTAAATTATGATTGCTGTGTGCCTGAAACACACGCACACACACACGTGAAAACAGTAATATTTTCGTTTTGCTTTCTTTAGAATATTTTTTTTCTGTTCACTCGAAACATTGTTTTCTCAACTTTTTTTTCCCTTACAAACAGCTGTACCGGATTCTGTTCAATTTGTTTATAATAGTTCGAGAACTACCGCTACAAGTGTCTCATTCGCATGGTTGCCACCGTTACGTGATGGTAATAAACCGATACGTCAATATCGAATTCGTTATTCACATTCTGAGCCAAGTGTTGTTGTCAATAGTCCAGTGTCATCGATACAACAGGTGATCTCATGTGTTTGGTCATGTTTTGTTTTTGTTATTATGATTATTATTATTATTATTATTATTATTATTATTATTATTATTATTATGAGGTCTCGATTGGCTTTTGCCAACCTGCATCGCCTATGGTGCAGGCGAGATAGCCGTTTGCTAACCAGAAGGACGAGTCTATTGTGCAGTAGTTCGCTCTGTTCTACTATATGGATGTGAAACATGGCCGGTGAGAGTAGAAAACATTGGTAGATATTGCATGTCTTCAATCATAGGTGTCTCCGAAGCATTGCTCATATATCCTGGGACAATCGAGCAGAAGTCCAAAGTCTAGTGATCATGAGATCACTTATTTAGGGATTATGAACAGTAATAATTGGTCTGTTCAATAGTTCAGTCAGTCACTCAGTTACAACGTAGACCTGCGAGCGTGAACGCATTGCACAAGGGACAACTGCTTCAGGACAGTCACGCATGGCCTTTTTATGGGTAGTATTTAAAAGTGTCAGCTCTGTTCTTGTTTAAAAGGCATTACCGCGGGAGACGGAAATCCGTGAGGTAGAGTTAGGTGTGATAATTTTAGAGCTGACCTTTTCCAACCTCTTCCTCCCATCATGAGTAGGTAGCATCGCTGCAGATGCTGGTTGTCCGAGGGATACACCTCACTTCTGTCACACCCCTTCTGCAGTCAGCAGTACAACTTAGCTCTCAGACGATGAGTAGCTGCTTTTAGTCTCATCGTTCTCCAATCGACCTGCCTGGCATGCTGGAACCTTCAGGAACATATGTTCTAGCCAGTATAGCTCGGTTGGGTCATCGCGATATGCAAGCCTAACCACCACGTCAAGGTAGCAGCTGCTGACGGGATATTCAAGAATTGAGCAAATCCAAAGTACAGTGATCATGAAACCATTTATTTAGGGATCATGAACAGTAATAATTGGAAAGTTAGGGAAATTCTAGTGAGAGTATGTGACCAGTGTAGTTCAACCCTGTCGGGTCTGTGTAGGCAGTAACTACCGAAGACAAATGGGTGAGGTTGCGAAGAAATCCTTAGATTGATCAAAGTTAAAAAATAATACTGTTCGATGCCAACTGGCTCAGTGGTCCAGCAGTTAAGCGTTTCGCGCATGAGGTCGGATGTCCTTGGTTCGAATCCTGTGGGTAGCAGGTATCGTGGATGCGCCACATCGATTACTATCATCTCGCGGACTCCAACCAGGTAGTCGACACTTGTCAACATGTCTTAGTCCAGTTGCCAGTGACTTCATAGTTTTGTACCATGTTTTGGTTTAGTCGCCCCTAACTTTCTTCCAACCTACTCCTATACTACAAAACATTGCTCGTCGAGGCAGTCAGTGGGTTAGGCATACGCAGCACATGTCCTAACAGACAGACAGACAGCTATAACGCAGAGCTTCGTACGTACGTACATCAGTTCAGGGTTGCCATGCTCCATCAGCACAGAGACGCAACTGTCAGTTCAAATACAGGAGTGATAGCGATAACAGAATTATTAGCAGTAAAGAAGAAGATCAGGGAGCGAAGATATGATTCGAAAATTATAATTCAGTGAGGTAAATTTAGAAGGAGAAAGATAGAGATTATGAGGAATTCAGGTTAGAGTTTGAGAGAACACAAAGAGTGGATGCATTTGCACCATTGCAAACGATTATGAGCCACGTCATTCAAGGTCTCTAACCATCGATTACGATTGTCTCTCGGATCCCAACCAGGTAGCCTACATCTACCAACATGACTTAGTCCACTTGTCAGTCACTTCATGCATTTCTGCCATACGTAGCACATGTCCCAACCGCCTCAACGGATGTAGTTTCGCTACTTCATCTATTGATTTGCCATTCTTACCTAGCACCCGTTTCCTAATAACAGAGTTGCTCACTCTGGTGTCCCAGGATACACGAGCAGTGCTTCGGAGACATCGATGATCGAAGACTAGTAACCTACGAAAGTCCTCTACTCTTAACGGCCAAGTCTCGCATCCGTACAGTAGGACGGAGCGAACTGCTGCACAGTACACTCGTCCTTTGGTTAGCAAACGGATATCTCGCCTGCGCCATAAGTGACGCAGGTTGGCAAAAGCCAATCGAGCCTTCTGTATCCGAGCTGAGATTTCGTCAGTCACCAGGCCATCAGCACTGATGAGACTCCCAAGATAAGTTAAGCGGTCTACACGCTCGAATACTTCGCTCCCTATCACTAGACCAAGTGCCCATGCAACCCAATCTTGAAGCAACATTTTTCATTTCAAGGGTAAGAACCGCATCCGGAACATGCTTGCATTTTTGCTTAGGGTGGTCAGAACACTCTGCATTTTGTCAGCGTCTTCAACATGTCCTAACCACCTCAACTGATGAAGTTTCCATACTACTGCCATCGTTACCTACTGCCCACCTCTTAACAACACCATTGCCTACTCGTCGGTCACAGAATATACGAGCAATGCTTCGGAGACACCTATGATTGGAAACCAGCACCAAATGGAATATCTATCTACTTCGTTTCATTGTTAGGGCTAGCGATGGGGAAGATTGTTGAGTTTCAATAAAAATCACTATTTTCTACTTTTTTCTGTATTGTTTTTATTTTCTAGCCTAATGTTACAGAGATTGATGTTTCAGCTAATCAACATCACATTGAATTGAATAATCTTCGACCATATACAAAATATCATATAACTGTAGCTGCAATCAACGATGTTGGACCAAGTGTGGAAAATGCTCTTGCACTTACTACTCAAGAAGCGAGTAAGTTGGTTCATTGATGTTAATTATATTGGGGAATCGAACGAGTGACAATAGATTCAATGATATACTAATTTAACTTCTAAAATTTTTTGGAAATCAGGAATCCATCAATGTTAGACTACTGCCATTAGCAAGCACTGGAAGCACTGGACGGCTGTTTTGTCCTGGTATGGAACTACGCATCAGTGTTAGTGCGCATCTGCGAATCATGATGCTCTTACAGTTTTGCGTAAGCTCATCCATCCACTGTCTTCAGTGAGCGAGTAGTAGGAGTCGTGGATTCGCATTAGCACTGATGCGTAGTCCCATAACAGGACAAAACGACCCTCTTTCAGTGTTTCCAAGTTTCTAAAGATATTTTTTGTCGTACATCTATGAACTAACGGGCAGCCAAACCAAAAATATGGCACAAATCCATGAAGTCATCGACTAGTAGTGGACTGAGCCATGTTGGTAAGTGTAGACTACCTAGTTCAGGTGCCGATACAAGCCAATCCTGAAGTGTAACATTACACATTTCAAGGGTGAGAACCGCATCCTGAACATGTTTGCTTTGTTGCTTAAGGTAGTCAGAAGACTCTGCATTTTGTCAGCATCTTCACCGAATAGAACTATGTCATCGGCATATTCTAAGTTGAAAAGCGTGTTCATTGGTGCAAAGTCCACTCCTGAAGAATTTGACGATGAAAATGTCATCTCTACAGAAGTATATCATTGATATAGTTGAATAAGAATGGGGTAAGTAGATAGCCCTGACGAGGACATCATTTGAAATAAAGAATTCCAATGACAGTTCACCACAAGCTCTCACTCGACCTGTAGTGTTCGAATAGAGAGTATCACATATTAAGTGAGATTGATACGAGTTACCTGTAGAAATTCGATAGAAACTGAAGATGGGAATTCCAAAGTTAGTCCATCTTTCCGTATAACAGCATTGCCTACTCGATTTTCCCAGGATATATATGAACTATCCTTCGAAGACTCCGTTGATCGAATACTAATTGCCTATGAACGGAGTGAACTGCTGCGCAGTAGGAATCATCCTTTGGTTAGCAAACGGTTATCTCGCCTACACCATAAGTGACGCTAGCTGGCCAAAGCCAGTCGAACCTTCTTTATCTTTGCTGAGATTTCGTCAGACACCGGGCCATCAGCACTACTGATGATTAGACTCCCACAGGTACTCTGTCTATACTCACTTGATCATTCATAATCTTGTATTTTATAACTCTTTTAGCAATTTGATTTCTCTGTCTCATTATGTCATATGAATCATATAACCTATAAATCAATAAATTGCAATTCTTAGAACCCGATGGTCCAGTTCGTCGTCTAATAGCTAATGGAACTGCCTCGGATACAATTATCATTAGTTGGGAGAATCCA